GGGGCCTCACCTCTCCCAGCCCCGCCCCCGACTTGGGCGTGGCCGTGGCGGAGCCGGTGCTTGGGGAGGGCGGAGCCTGCTGCGGGGGGCGGGGCCCGGAGGTTCGGCTAGGGCGGATAGCTTGGCGCGCACCTCTGGGAGCCCGGTCGAGTGTGGTGGCGCTTCCCATTCGCCACGCGCCGGGGTGGGTCCCCGAAGGTAAGCGTGTGGCCCATGGAGGTCGCGCGGAGCCCCCGGGTGGGCAGGGTTCTGGCCCCGCGCGGGCAAGGTGGAGGGACTCGCGGGCGCGCTCGAGGCAGGTGTGGTTTGGTCGGACGGGTCCGGTGCCACTTCCGCGCCGGTAGGAGCGCGGGGCGGGGCGTGGGCGGACAGGCGGCCACCTCGCGTGAACCCCCGGAGGGAGGCACCAGGGCGACACCGGAGCGTGCTCCAGCTTCGCGGCACTTGCCACGGCACTTGCTCCTGGACAGAAAACGTTTGAATTGTTCCACACAGCTTCCCCAAATCTCGAGAAGCCTCAGGTTTATAGCGTTTTTCTGTTATTTAAAATGTACGACGAGTTTGGGGATTCAAGCTGGAGGAGAAACTCGGTAGTTAGCTTGCGTTGCGGCCTTATTTTGATTTCGGGTTACTTAGTTTGCAAGAAGGGTGCAACTAATAATGGGACTGTTATTTAAACAAGGACACCGGGGTTTACGTAGGGAGTGTATGGTGGAGATTAAGCGCGCAGGCTTTGAAGCTGGAATGCCAGGGTTTGAATCTACTTATTAACTGTGAAAACTTAGTCAATTTGCTTGATTTCTCTATGCCTTAGTTTTCCCCTAAATAAAATGGGGATGATGATAGTTCCAGCCTTATAGGAATGTTGCGAAGATTAAATGAGTTAATATCTAGTGCCTGGCACATAATTCACAATAAACGTTGGCTGTTTTATTATGCGTTCAGATGTGCATTAATCTCTAAAGTTGCCGACACTAGAAAACCCCTTCTTTCCTCAGAGCTGTTGCTAGAAATGCTTGGGGATTCTTTTGGAACAGTTTTCTTAGATTGAGTCACACAAGAAAAGGTCTCATTATTTTTTCTCATACCTGATGTGATCATCCACCTTGTTCCAAATCAAATCCACTCTCACATGCTACAGAAACCTCAGAGTCATGAAGATTGTTCTAAAAGAAGGATGAAAAAAGGCAGTACTTTTCCGTTCAGTTGAGCCTCATTTTTAAGCACCAATTTGAGGTAGTTTTGTTTAAAAGCAGTTCATATCACTTTATACAGAACTGCTAAGTTGTGCTATTTTGGGTGCGGTGTTTACGTGTACTATTATTGTAAGACTGAAGTAAACCAGAGCACCCAAAATACATAAACAAACATAGGGACCATAGTTTGCCATATAGATTCTCAAAATTGAAAGGGATCTGAAAATCAGACCAGCTGGTCTTTACAGATAAGGATCAGACCAAAGACCCAGAAGCATTAAATGGGAGAGCTTAGACTAGAATTCAGCTCTGCTGATCAACAAATTATAAAATCAAAGGATGCTATTACTTCTACTGTTGATGATAGTTACTATTTCTGTTTTTGACGGTTTTATGGTACTGTGAATGGTTTTTCTCTCAGCAGCATCCTACTTGGTAGCTTAATTGCATGATTCATGATCATTCTTCAGCATCTTTGATTTAAATCATAAGTCTCAAAGTTGCTACATCAATTATTGCTTTGAGAACAAGATGATTGTCTTCTTAAGCTTTGTACAAACATGTTCTAACAGTGTTTTGGTTTTGTTGTTTTAAAATGCAGTCCTTTTCTCCCACGTAGGGAATGTAAATAGCCAGTATAAACAAATTGACCTGCTTGGCAGTTTGTTATCACTGCATTATTAGTGACGTTTTTTTGATTGGGTACGATAGTGGAACTCTAAATGCTAGTCCAAGGAAATAGGACTGGGCCCTGAAGAAATATGTTGCAATGTTGCTGCTAGCTTCAGAAACATTGTGGAGTGAAATTATCTTGAGATATTAGTGTGTTAGTTGCTGACTCTTCCCCAGCTCTTTTCATAACTCACTCCCTCACCTCTGGGTATTTGTTTAGAAGTTACCTTCTTACTTAAAATTGCATACAGCCCCACACTTCCTATAACATATATCAACTTGTTTAATTAATTATTATCTGTTGTCCGCCAGTTGAGGGTAAGTTCCATGTGGGTAGGATGCTTGCCAGTTGTGTTCACTGCTGTATCCTGAGAGCCTGGGAACACTGCTTGGCATTCCGAAGATATCAAATGGGTGAATCTGATGCAGACATTACAAGGCCGGTAATTACTTAAACTAGTTCACTGTCATTTTGCTCTATTCTCCCCTCGTCCCATTTCTAGTTGTTTCTCCTGGTTACCCAGGAATAAAACTTTGAAGCAAAATTAATTTGACCTCCTACTTTGCATGTCAAGTGCAAATAGCTAGTGACTTATGTCACCTGCCAGTGTTTTGCAAAACTGTCATTCCCCTTGTTGCCAAGCCCCTGTTTCTTTGTGCTCTTCCCATCTTCTATACCTACATCCCTGCAGTTCCTTTTTCAAATGTCCTCGCATCCTTTTCTGCAGAATGAAATCCTGAGTGAGAAGCCTGGCATTCAAAGTTTCCTACAATGTGATGTCAAACCCACTTTTCCAGCCTGTATCTCCCCTAGATAAAAATAACGATTTTCAACTTAGGCTTGTAAATATGAAAGTAAAATAAAGCTTTAATGGTATTGCCCTATAAAATCACAAGGTGGTGTTGCTGCATGACAGTTTCTCTTTCTGTTTCTTATTATTGAGTTGCTGTTTTTCCCCAATGTGGACCTCCATTCAGACAAACTGTTTTGAGTGCCATCCTTCAAATCTCCCTCACATGCCACCACCACCCCAAATACCTGTATAAGTTCAGTTGGAAGTTTTTCCTTTGAATTTTCTTAACTTTCATAGAGAATTTATCACAGTCTACCTTGAATTGTATAATTCTTTGAGCATTTGTCTTTTTTTCTTTGCTTCATGTAAGCTTCTGGAGGAGCAGCAGCACACACATTCAAAGTCTAGTTACTTCTAAAGGAAAAATAAGATCCATGCACACTTATCTGCTTTTTAAATAAAAGCGAACTTAAAGTTCTACCTGATAGTCTTTTAAATCATTAAATATTGGGCTTCAACAATTATTTCTACAGTATGGACAAATAAGGAAAATAGCAGGGAAAAATTCAGTACTAAAGGAAAAGATAGAAATGAAGACATTGAAGTCTGGATTCATAGAAGAGAGTGGGCGTACAGAGGGCAGCATACCAGCACCCACATAGATGGACAGGCAGATGTTTAAAAAAATACACAATAAACTCACTCAGGAAACTGTCAAGATAAGACAGACTTTATGGAGCAGCATCTGCAGCTTTGGATTCTCTCGCGGGGTAATATTCCTAAACTATATTTTGTTTTTTGTATCTCCAGGCACAGAAATATTTTTCTCTGCCTTGTTTTCTGAGCTGGGTAGGACTGAACATTCTCTTCCTCTCTCTGGGTGGCAGAAAGTAATTTACCTTCTTTCATTGTTTAATCTAAAAAAAGTGTTCATACCTCTTTTTAAATTTATTTTCTTGGATATATGGAGAAGGGAAATGCCAGAACTTTAAGTTCTTCAGAGAAAGGTGGATAGAAGATACTTAAGTCTGCTGTTGAAGCTTACAGTTTTATTAAATTTGATATCAGCATTTCGTTGAAAACATTTTGCTTAATTTTACATTACAAACATCTCCCTGAACTTATTCCAGTTGAGTCAATGTTTTCATTTTACTTGTGACTCTTGTACATTAAAACTTGACTCTAGAATTTGTGTAGAAGCTTCAGCCATTTCATTGTATCTTCTGCGGCCTCTCAAACCTCAACTGGGGTTTTCCTGGTCTAGGGCATGCATTAGCCTAACTTTTTTTCTTGGTTCTTGATTTTGAGTACTTACAGGTATAGGCCTAAATTTATTTTACCATTCCTGGAATGAAGCTGCAGTTTCTATTTGTAAAGAGTTGGTAGGGAAAATATATATAAAGGTCCTCATTTTTGAAATGTTAAAAGTTTAAGGTAAAATTCTGCATATTGTTTTTTCTAATAACATAGCCATTGTAGGGTCACGATTTGAAATGAATGTACTACAGTTTAAATAAGTATTTAAATATCTAATTGGTTGTAATTTATGTGCTTTAGGAAATTTCTTCTAATGTGCTGACCAACAAAGTTTTATTGTCAGAAGAAAGCAAAAGTTTTGAAAGCAAATATTTGCTTTGGAGTAAAGTTTTCTTTATCACAGTGTATAAGCATCTGTGTTTATCCTGAGTTCCTGTTTGTAAAAAGCCTTAGTTAAGAGTGTTATCAGACAAATCATCCATACAAATAATTAAAGTTGGGGCACAGACTAATGTTACATCCGCATCACATCTGTTAAATTATATTGTCATTTGTAATATCTGTTATAATATTAAGATATCATAGCATATTAGTATGTATAATAATGGGAGAGATCCAGTAAAGAGGGAGAACTTGATGATTTGGAAGACTGTGAAGGAATGATGAGGGTCTTTCTACCTGTTTAATGAATAGATGAAACAAACATGTCTTATTAGGGTTTACTAAGTGCATGACAGTAAATAAGTCACAATTCCTACACCCCAGTTAGGGAGCTTCTCAGTAAACAAGCAGAATGCAATCCATAAATGCTAAAGTGGAAATAAACAGGATGATGACATATTAACTTGGGGAGAGAGCACTTTAGTTAGGGTGAATTTGAACAAAGGCCTCAACGTGAAGAGCCGAGGGGAAAGCATCCCAGAGAGTTGGGCCACAGGTACAAGAGACTGAGAGATAGGAGATGGGAAAGGGCTTGGTTTGTGTCTGAACCAGGAAGGAGTTTGTTCGGATGGGTGTCTAGTGACTAGAAAGGCTAGAGGCCTTGGTGAGTGCAGCTGGAGAGGTAGGCAGAGGTTAGGACCTGTGAGGGGATTGTAGGCTGTCAGCAGTAATGCAGAGGTTTGGATTTTGTTTGTTTGTTTTGGTGGTTTTCTGGTACGAGGTTCTGAACCCTTGACCTTGGTGTTATAACACCAGGCTCTAACCAACTGAGTTAACCAGCCAGCCCCAGAGTTTGGATTTTATTCTAAGTGCAGTGGGAAGCCATGGAAAGGGTTTA